TAATAAACGAGAACCTCGTAAAGCCATACTGATATTACATTATGAGGCGATATCGAATAGTCTCTGCTAACCCTTTGAATGATCTTTTAATCTACCAAATACATACCTCCATTTCAATCTTGCAAGTTTCCCTTTAATTCATTCTGCCAATGCAAGTTACCCAGCCCAATGCCTCATCTATTTTCAAAAACAGGCAACGTCATACCGGCAATCAGTGAATTGAGGTCTTCATAAAGTCACACAATGGCCATAGAAAAACTTCATTCGTTCAATTGCATTGCCAGTCAGTGAGGAAGAGCTTTTTTTAGGGACAAAAACCTGCTTAGTGCTGATTGCATTTACCCTCAAAATCATGTTTATACGAAGAAAAATAAAGTGAAGTGAAGCCATAAGTGTCTTTTTGAAATTTGGCTACGGTACCAAATATTTCTTTCATACGATTTGCTCTAAATTCCATAGATTATGATAATTTGGTAATTCTTCAAATTAGAAGGAAAAAATCTTGAAGGACTTTTAAAACGATTATAGCCTCTGACTCCACATATTTCTTTGACAATTATGCTTCCCCTTGTTTCTCATTGTTTACGCAAAAAAACCTTCAGACAGCTGATGATGATTGATCAGCAAATATAGCTAGCCTTCCAAAACCCCATTTTCGTGACACTCTCATTGAAATAACCATCTTGAAAGTATCACTTCGAAACTTCCCTTGGGACAAGTCGGTGTTCGTTGTCACACGCTCGTTCCGACATGTTTTCGCTTTATTCGTTACCAGATAAACAAATCGACGTGCGCACATTTATGTATCAATAAACATCTTCTAGCCCAAACATAGTAGCCGAAACTAGACACGGCAATCTGTTACAAACGTCACATCTAAACATAATATATCCCTCGAGGATAGGTTAGCAAATTATGGAAGGTTGCATCGATAGTTAGTTAAATTCGCAGAAATCCTGTCGATATAGGGGCCCATTTTCGAAGAAAACTGTTCCAAACAAAAATCAAATTCTGACCTATCGCCCGTGACCTCTGGCCACGCCCCCAAGCTCTGATTGGTTGGAGCCATAGATTTGCTCAAAATGTTCCAAATGGACGCATTTCCTATACTTTAACTTCTTCTTTCAGCCGTTGCCGTCTCATATGCTGACGACGACTCCATTGAGAAGCGAGCAGGTGAACGAGCATTCATTCCCATCGAAGAGCGAGGTGGAGCCAGAGCCTTCTTCCTAGACGAAAAACGAGGAGGAGGCAGATCATTTCAAGTAGACAAAAAGGGAGGAGCACGAACATTTACGGAAAAACGAGGCGGAGCACGTGCATTTGTACCACTTGAGGAACGGGGCGGAGCTCGTGCCTTCCTACCAATAGAAGAGAGAGGCGGAGCTAGAGCCTTTTTTGAAG